ATAACCGAGAAAACAGCCATCTTCTTTGTATTCGTTTACCAGAACTTTCATCCTCTCATTTCGTAATTATTTGTTTTCTAATTAGTGAGATTTACGGTCCTCACAGCGACGAGAATGAAGTCTTCTAGGATGTAACATCGTGTAAACTTATTTCTTTTGACAGACGTTTCAAAGAATCTTGCTGTCTCCATCACAAGGGTAAGCTCCTCTGAAAGTCGGAAAACGTTTTTGCCAGAATACATGGTACTACAACGCAGAAGGCAGCCACACTCAAACTATTCAATATTCTCCCCACAACTTTGTAAGTTCTCCCTATTGCCCGCCTATATGGCGGAACTGTGTTCCATATAGTCACGTAGATGGCAGCACTGGACAGGAATGTAAACAAACAAATTATAGGTGTACTTGGACGTGACTGTCTTTGTTTCATAATCTCTGAGTTGCTCATAAGAAGCTTTTTAATCCGTGTCAATAAACTTCCGGGTTCCATAAAAAGCGGGAAATTTATTGTCTGAACTTTTCAAAACTTCTGCTCCCGTAAAGTTAGTTGGTGAGCAATGATTAATACCAACATTGTGTAGGGTGGAAATAAATTATATTGTGCATTATGTTATATTTGATCATAATGATCAATTTAAAAATAATTATTAATGCTGTGAATGTTTATTTAAGTATGTACACTAAAATCCAGTTATGTCTAATGAAAATTTTATCATTTCCCAGTTGGTTAAAACACGTATTTGGGAGAAGTTGAAGGCAGTATGAGTTCTCGCGCTTTTGTGAAATGGTCGTTAAAATTATCCGATCTAAATTATAGTTTCAAGAGTTGGACATTTTTTCAGAAATTCTCCAAAAGGAGTGTAATTAAATTCGAATTATCCATTCTAGCGTACGGTGGAAGATAACGTTTACATAATATTATCTGCTAGTGAACGCGGTCTACTTATTCGCACCACTAACTGTGGAACATACCACAGAAATCCCTGCCTCCATCAAGAAAACCATTAGTTCTTACTCTGAGCCATTAACGTTGGTTGGAAACATTAAATTTTTTGACTTTACACTTATATCCATACCATAATCATAGATTAAGGTCCTAAAAACAACTTTTTTAAGTGAGTATGTTGGCAAACATGTTGAGATATCGTGATTTTGACGTCCGTTGATCCTATCCTGTTACCTATGATTACAACGTAGGCAATACGAGTTTGTTTGAGTGTTGGATCGAATATTAACCGTTCGCAATGTTGTAGAAGTAGCGTTGTTTAATTGATGTTTAAAATTAGTGCTTCGAAGGAGATTTCTGGTTCTTGCTTCTTTGGTTGTAAACAGTGATACTTAACGTATAATCGTGCGTAAAATATTAGGTTAAATTTTTGTTTAAGGACAGAATTTTGACTTTTCGGGCATCAGAGTATCCTACGTACCAGTCTAATATTATATAAGGTTTTATGTTTTAAATGCTTACTGCGTTAGGTCGAAACTCTTTCTTGTTGTATTTATGGTAAAGTGCGGCCGGGGCGTGACGCTGATCACTTACCCCATCTAATGCCGAGGTTGTGAATGAGTTGGAATTATACCACCCCCACCCCCAAGCTCCTACGTGTTGTATAGTGGGACAGCTTTACTTTTTTACTTTTATATTTATATATCACAATTTATAAAATGCGCTTGAGAAGTATGTGCCATCTCCCATTTTTAGCGATTTGTCACTTTTGAATTAAAATTGTTATAGGGTGGTCTTGTATGTTATGGATTCTTTTTGCCTGCATGCATATGTTTAATGTAGTTATTTGTTTTTTATGAAGGCATTGTAATTGACTTGGCTTCTGACTCTTTGAAATAAAATTGCCTTGGAATGTTATTGTGTCTAAAATTAGTTTTATCCCTGTAGGTATGTCAATGTGTTTGATTCAGTATAATGGAAGTTTGATGTTTTGTAACAGTGCATTATGAAATATGCTTGTTCTTTTTTTAGATGCATTGTTAGGGGAAAATGTCTGGTCTCATGATCAAAATTTGCGTACATCATATCAGTGAGGTAGAAACATGAAGATGAAAAGAAAAAGTTTGAGCTTCTCATTTCTGTCAAAATCTGGTAAGTGTATTGTTTTGCAGATATCTTATGATGAGTCCACTTTATACTGTGGAAACATCATGACTCCGTTTTGTACTGTGAAAACATACATTTTGGAATTTCTGTTTACAATGTAGGTTCAAGGAAATGGAGATCAAACAATCTTCAGTTGGCACGAGAAAATGCCAGATTAAGGAAAGATATACAGAGATGTAAACAACTTCTTATGGAGAATACTATACGATACAACATTTTAGAAGTATCATGGAGACGTCGTGGGGTAAGTAATTTCGGACTTAATAACTGGTTGCTCTTCTGCCTTTTTATATCATGGTTCATAAGTTTTTAAAATATGAGTCTCATGATGATAGAATATATATAGTCTAGAAAGTATTTTTTAATTCACATTTTGGAAACTTGTTATAAGTTTTCATAATCTGTGGATATAATAGTAGATCAAAAACTTTATATTTCATGTTTTGCTATTGTACAGAATGTCTGGCTTTTATGCTTTGCCTATAACACTGTCTTATCTTCTTTGTGTTCTAATTTTGTTTTGATTGTCTATACATGCTGTGCACATATATTTAGGCCATCCCACATCACCTAGGTTGGCCTGTAACCAAGCTGTTTGTACCTGTCTATTCTTATTCCTTTTGCCTTTTCCCTATCTATCATGGTAGAATTGTCAACTGCAGTCTCCTGTTTTCCTTTGTGAAGATGTTGATTGTCATCTTCTGGGGTGTGACACCTTGTTGCAGTTTATAAGTATTTTGGAAGGTGAGATATGTTCCTCTGATATGCTGGTGACCACAACTGACATATGAATTCAGCTCACAATTACTTTCTGATGCTATGCATTAGATATCATCACCCTCACAAGAAAAACTCATATCTGCAAGAAAGCTAACGGATGTTAAAGTGTTTTCAAATACTTCGTTTGGGATGTTTGCTATGAGATAGCATGGGAATCTCATTTTCTCAATTTTGATGAGTTATGAGGTTTCCTTTTGGGGGCAGCAATATACTATC